TGAGACTATGGCCCCTAGCTGCCCTTCAGGTCTGGAATTGAACCCACACCTGTGGCTTCCAGCCAAACAAAAGACAGGCATATGAGTTGAACATTTATGTGAGATAGATATACTCCTTGGAGAGAACAATCATAGGAGGAAAAGGGCTGTTAATGCACAGGGAGACAGCTCAGGGGGCAGGAGTGCATGGAGTGATGAACACAAGGAAGAGGTCAGGAGGAAGTCGGAGGGGAGCTGTTGCATTGAGGTAAATTGGAGTCAACATCATGAGACAAAATGTATGTGAAGTACTGCATGGAAAGTGAATTTGCTCTGTAAACTTTCACCCAAATCACAATTTAAAAAAAAAAAAAAGAATTATCAGAGCGACCTAGTAGTACAGAAAGATTATGCCTCATTTAATTTCAAACACATAAGTGTAAAAGACAGCCTCATTTGCCAAATAAATTTTATTTCTGTGTGTTAAAAAAAAAAAAAAAGAATAAGTTTGCAGTAGGTTTTGGTAGATATCTTTTAGTGAATTAAGAAAGTTCTCTTTTGTTCCATTTTGCTAACATATTTTGTCATGAAAAGGTGTTTTTTTGCATGTAGTGTGATTTTTTTTTTTTCTCTCCTATACTGTTAACACAGTACATGACATTTTAAAATCTTCTAATATTAAACCACTCTGGAATAAGCACAATTTGTTCCTGGTAAAGTATTTTTTAAAAAGAAAAATATTGAATTTTATTTGTTAATATTTTACATAGAATTTCTTACTTTAACTTTGCAAGATTGTCCTACAATTTTTCTTCCTCAAGTTCTCTCTCATCTGATTTGGGAATCAAACTTATATTTGCTTCATGATATAAGAGATGGAATGTGTCCTCTTTTCCTGTTTACTGTGAATTACATTTATGATTAGACTGGTAAGTTCCTTGCTATGCTAAAGAAAAGAAAAGAAAAGAAAAGAAATAAACTCTTCACTCCAGACTAATAGAGATTAATTGTACCTCAGATAACTAACTGCTAGTTCTAGACAGTTTTTACAAATTCAACCACAAGACTCAAAGTTCAAAGGGCACCAGGACCAAAGTGAAAAAAAAAAAAAAAAAAACCCACAAAAAGATACATAAAACTGTCCACAAATGACCTTAAGGAGTCCCTGGGTTGTATAAAGTTAACATCCTCCGCTACTAAGAACAAGTACCTTGGAAGAAAGACCTAGCAATAAACTTCCAACAAATCAGCCATCTAAAATCCAGAGTAGAACCAGAACACAGTTCTACTTTACATGCATGCAATCATGAGTCTCAGTCAACTCCATGATAACTGGTTTGGTTTGATAATGGTTTTAAGATAAGCTCTATAATCAAATCTTACCTTAGCTAGAGTGTTAAAAACTTCCAGAGTAACTCAATTTAAAATGAACATAAACATTTTATGTAATAACATGTTCAAAAGCTATTTAAAAAATGTATGGCAAAATTATATATTATTTGGAAAAAAAACTAGACCTTTTTTTTAGGTAGATAAGATATACCCTTGACACATGTGAAATCTGAGACTATATCTGGAGAAGATCTGCTTATCAAAGAGACATTAAGATTTGGGCAGGGTGGTTCAGATTTACATATAAAAGATTCAAAATGCCAAATGAACAATAAAAAGGTTATGAACAGAATAATGAAATCATTATGAAACCCATTTATTGTGCTTTTAATGATTGCAAGTTTTAGAAACTTCAATTATCTTGTCCATTTCATTATTTAAAGAATATAACCAATGTGTTTACTTTAAATTATGGACTAACCATTGGTACAATTTCATTAAACAAAACAGAGACACTTTAAGGAATACAAAAAGATAGTGAAAGCAAAAAGAAATCATTTATTTCTTTTTATCTTATTGTTGTTGTTGTTATGTGCCGTCGAGTCAGCCCTGACTCATAGCGACCCCTCCTTGGGTTTCCGAGGCAGTATCACTACGGAAGTAGGATTGGCCAACCTTCCTTCCGAGGAGTGGCTGGTGGGTTTGAACCGCCAGCCTTCTGGTGAGCAGGCAAGTGTCTTAGCCACTATGCTACCAGAGACATCTATAAAACATTTATTACTTAGGATTGCTTGTTTGCTGGTTTTAAACTCTTGGGAGTTTAGAGTGATGCCTGTCCATTACTGAATTGTTTTGAAAGTTCTGACAGGCTTCTTTGTTTATTATCTGTATTTTATTGTGTTAGACAAGCTCACATTGCTGCAATCATCTCTTAAAGAAGCAAAAAGTATCTCTTTCATTCCATGGGTATTCAGCACACACACACACACACACACATTCACACAAAGTAAAGGGCTCAGAAAATTTGCAGAAACCTATTAGCACTCCTAGCTATCTGGTATTGGTATTATTTTATCAAGGTCATGATTGAAATATCATAGCAAGCCAGGAGCCCTTGCCTCTGGTCAGGATTGTCTATGGCACTCTTTGTTACAATCTCTCTATTTTTAACAACAAGCTCCTCTTGTCCATGATGATTTCATGGTATGCTGTTGCAACATCATTTTCACTGAGAAGGCCTGTGATCCATTACAAAACAATAGCATCTAGGTAGTGCCACTATGCTATGGATTGAATGGTGTCCCCAGAAAACATGGGTTATAAATCCTAACTCATATTACCTGTGAAAAGAAGCCATAGTGGCACAACGGTTAAGTGTTCAACTGTTACCCTGAAAGTTTGTGGTTTGAGCCCACTCAGCAGGTCCACAGAAAAAAAACCTGGTGATCTGTTCCTATAAAGATTGTTGTTGTTGTTGTTATGTGCCATTGAGTCGTCTCCAACTCATAATGACCTTATGTACAACAGAACGAAACACAGCCCGGTCCTGTGCCAGCCTCACTATCCCACTATACCTGAGCCCATCGCTTCAGCCACTGTGTCTATCCATCTCATTGAGGGCCTTCCCCTCTTTCGTTGACCCTCCACTTTACCAAGCATGACATCCTTCTCCAGAGAATGGTCTAGAAAACCCTACAGGGCAGTTCTCTGTCACATAGGGTTAGTATGAGTTGAAATCAACTCAATGGCACCTAACAAAAGTAACATACCTGTGGATGTTATCCCATCTGGGAACAGAGGTTTTCTTTGTTATGTTAATGAGGTCATATTAGTTTAGGGTATGTTTTAAGCCAAGCAATTGTAAGATATAAAAGAGTAGATGAGACAAAGAAGCAAGGAAGCATAGATGAAGGAAGACAGATGCCATGCCACATGACAATCACCAAAGAACTGAGGAACAGAACCTGAGAAGAGGCAAGGGCCTTCCCTGGAGCTGACAGAGAAAGAAAGCCTTCCTTTAGATCTGGCACCCTGAATTTGGACTTCTAGCCTCCTAAACTAAGAATGTAAGTTTCTGTTCATTAAATCCACCCATTAGTGGTAGTTCTTTTATGGTGACACTAAGAAACTCAGTCACCTTGTTAGCTGGCTCTCTATTGGCACTCTGCCTAGAACCTGGTCATCTAAACTCCAACTCCCCAACAGAAGGTTTTTCAATCGATATATTGCCCCAGCAGAATTAAGGGTGAATTTGAACCACCAACCTTTTGGTTTACAATTGAGCATTTAACCACTGTGCCACTAGGATTCCTCAATCAAAGTTACATTTTGAAAAAAAGTTGGCTTTGGGCACTCTTTGTAAGCTATCCTTTAGGTAATATAGAAAAACACAACCACAAGATTATAAAGGAACATTCATAAAAACGATAGATTTTATACTTATTAGTCATACAAAATTCCACCCCCTGTCTGTTAGTTTTATCATACTACGGTGGCTTGCATGTTATTGTGACTCTGGAAGCTATGCCACCAATATTTCAAATACCAGTAGGGTCAACCATGGTAGACAGGTTTCAGTGAGCTTCTAGAGTAAGACAGATTAGCAAGAAAGGCTAGGTGATGTACCGCTGAAAATTATCCAGTGAAAACCCTAGTATCAGAATAGAATATTGTCCGACTAGACCAAACAAGCCGGGAATTGTGAAGATGGTGCATGACTAGGCAGTGTTTCATTCTGTCATACATAAGGTTACCACCAATCAGAGCTGACTTGATGGCAGCTAACAACATCAAATACAAAATTAAGTTTAATATAGCCTTTTACTAATTGATGTTAAAATCAAATATCAAAGGTTGGGGAAAGGAATATAATTAGAAAATAATTTGATTTGATCTGAAGGAAGGCACTCAAAACTAATTTACCTTTAGGTAAACTAGTAAAAGAACTCACTGATCATTTGGTAAGCTAGGAGAACTGACTTAAATTGAATGATGTGAGAGCTGCTTTTCTTACCATGCCAAAGGGAAAACCACTCATTTAGTTTACATAGTAAAAATTTGGTACAAAGTTCATGGGAAGCCTCTTGATTCTAAATTTGATAATCAATTTCTTATTCTAAAGAAGTTAGAACATTACACAGTGTTCTCATACCACTCCTAACCAATCATTTTGTTTCTTAGACATCATCTATATGAAGTAACATCATTTAATTTCTGACTTTTCTCTCTTGCTCTAAATATCACCAAAAGTGGTTATGGCACAATCATTAAGAATTTCTCTCTTAAGAAACAGGGGTATTCCCTCGCCCCTTTTACCAAATACTTTTAAGGTGTTGGATTGGTTAAGAATCTAGGAATAAAAACACAGAAGCAACTGAATTAGAGACATTGTACTGCAATTTCCTTGCATTTGTTTTCTCTTAAATCTAAATAAACCAAATTACAGATTTTCTCTGTTAGCCTTCTTTTTCCTCCTGCCAACATGTTGCGATAATATTTTATAGGTAACAGTTTACGACCAGGGTAAGACTTGGCAAGAATTCTATCAAAGTTTCAGAAACGGAAGCAAGTATTGCATTAAGTGACTCTGTGCTAGAAGCATCTTCACGGGGAAGGCTTTTTTCAAATAAGTCATCTCTGAGGAGCTAAGGAGACAGAGTTAAGTGGCATCTAATAATGAGGAAACTTACCACATGGCAGAGCAGTCAAAATTCACCAAAAGCCATTTGTGGGGATTAAAGTTAAATGAATCTGCAAACTGCCAGGGAATGATAACAAAAAGAAAAAAAAAAAAAAAAGAAAGAAAATATTTTAGTTATAAAACAACAAGAACCTCATACATAATAAGAAAAGTTCTGTTCTCAATGAAAACCAAGAGGCCACACCTTGAGACCCCAGAAGGGGGCAGTGAAGTGAAGTCATTGAAATCATGGGATTTGAAACATGAAAACAATTGAGATCTGGATTCCAGTCTGGTCTCTGGACTTTGTTAAATTATAGACTTGAGCAGTGACTTGACCTATCTGGGCTTCTTTTTCTTGTTTTTCAAGTGGTAATAATACATTTTACCTCATGAAATGTGCAGCTAAATATAGATCTGATTCTGGGTTGAAAAGAAAAGGACGATAAAAAAGGAGGATAGCTGTGGAGTCAGAGAATCCCGGTTTCAAATCCTGCTCAATTACTCACTCCATGTGAACTGGGATGAAAATTCCTGCTTCATGGACATGTTGTGAAGCAGTAGCTATAGAGGCCTCAGGCCAGCACCTGACAGAATAAACCCTCAAGTGTGCATGTTGCTACTGTGGGTGATTTGTGGCAGACCCAGGTTACATGATTAAAACATGGCTACTGCCTTCCACTAGCTCACAGTTAAGTGGTGAAATCTGATAGGAGAACAGATCATTTAAATGCAATATGAAAACGACCTCAGATAACTATAAAGAGGGCATATGGTTTATACAGAAGAGGAGGAAGAGGGCTCACTGTGTGGGGCTGAGGAATGTGCCCTGCTGAGGTGGTGTCTCACAGGACTGGAGGCCAGTGATATTCATTCATTGGGATGAAGGTCATTGATTCAAACCTAGGCAGGCTTCATGATACCAAAATGCCTCCAACCCTCAAAACATAAACCAGGTGTACAGAGATGTCCACAAAGTGTTTGTGGGAAGAGTGAAATAACCTCATTCTTTTCTGTAATGAGGAAAGTATAGAGTCTGGAGCAAGAGACTCAGATTCTGGTCCTAGTCTTTCCACTTCATAGATGAGTGCCTTTGGTGGAGTAATGCTATAGGATTTTATAAACAAAGAATAGGATTGAGATCATCTCTAAAGCCTTTCTATTAGAGCTTCCTATCATTTATGTGTTTAAGGAGCTCTGGTGACATAGTGGTTAAAGCATTCAGCTACTAACCAAAAGGCTGGCAGCTCGAACCCACCAGCTGCTCTGCTGGAGAAAGATGAGGTGATCTTCTTCCATAAAGATTTACAGCCTTGGAAACCCTATGGGGCAGTTCTACTCTGTCCTATAGGGTTGCTGTGAATCTGAATTGACTTGATCACAGGTGGTGGTAGATTATTTATGTGTTTAACTCCTAATTTGGTGTAGGGTTATCACATTCCATGCAAACTGATGCATTTTGAAGGATTTGAATCATTCATAATACTCAGAATTCAAAAGAGCACAGTCCAAGGCACATTCTGACAAAGGATGAGGGGGTTTTGTTTATATGTGAGGTGATGACTCTCCCCGCGCAGCATCACAAGTGGCTCTCCTGATTTAAGCTTAATATGAATCTTGATGCATTTTTATTTGGGGAAGAAACACAATTTTTTTTAGTTGAGGTAACTATACCAAACCAAATTCCCTTCCATCGAGTCAGATCCGACTCACAGTGACCCTCCCTTTCCAAGGCAGTATCACTATGGAAGTAGATTGCCCAATCTTTCTTTTGAGGAGTGGCTGGTGGGTTTGAACCACCAACCTTTTTGTTAGCAGTCAAATGGCTTAGGCACTATGCCACCAGTGCTCCAAGGTAACAAAATGTAAGAGTTCTACTTTTGCTTAAAAAGATAAATATTATTATTATTTATCTTACACTTTTTAATGTGCATAGCATAAAGTCACATAAAATTTATGCACATTATATTTCAAACTACTGGAATATTTGGAATAAGCAGAACTTTAATTCAGATGACAATGTTTAGAAATTGTACTGGTTTTCAGTTCTGTGTCCTACATTGTAACTAAAATTTCATTTGTCCTGTGAAATACTTTATGTCTGTGGTTCCCTCAACTTTATGAACTGACAAAGTTCACATGATATCTCTTTTACTGTGAAAGTGAAATAACTAATCCAGAGTAACAACAGCTAGCCTTATTTTTTGTTTAGCTGATTCCTTTACCAATATTACTTTAATCTATCAACATCTCTTGCTTTATTTTCTAAGAAATTGTAAGACAATGTCCAAGTTCATTGTTTTCCTAACAGTTATAGGTTCCCTCGCTGGAAAACCATGGGTGACAGTTACAAGCAACCTGATCTAGCTTCACCATCAATAGAAGAGCTGCTATGTTTCTAAGGAGAAAGTAAGAGATTTTAGCTACCAAGAGTGACCTAGGAGGGCACTCTGGACTGACAAACAAGACTTGGGTCCACCTGAAGGGCCGGGGATTCAGCCACAGGGTTGAATCCATAATTGGAGCAGAAATCAAGGCAGTGGCCACTGCAAAAGCCCAGCCTAACTCAGCCTTCCAATGGGAAACCTCTAATTCTCCCCTCCTGAGAAACTTCTCAAGACTTGTAACCCCTCTTTTCTACTTGTTTGAGGAATAAGCCCTAAGGATGCAATAAGAACAAAGGTCCAGGTCAGCAATGGGGGTACATTTGATCATCTGATGCCTACTTTCTACATCAATTCACTCTGGCAGTGCAGATTCATTTCCTGCCAGGCTTCAATAAAAGTAATATTTAGAAAGAGACAGGAAATTACAGTGAGGTCCATTTGTTGATAAAAGGAAACAAAAGGTTAAGGAGGAGCTTTGTTTGCTAGGAATTTTATTAGTTCTCTCCTATGGGACTGATCTGTTTAAACTTCTTTCATTACCCAACAGTGATATTTCCCTCCTGCTGACTGGGGGAAAGGCTCTTATCTGTGATAGCAGGGCTACAGCAGGATATTATAGCCTCTTATCTGACCTACTGAGTACCAAGGCCTTCAGCCAGGCAAGGAGATAGAGTCAGGAGCAATAATGGCAGGAAAAATTGAAATGACTCATTGTTGAGCAAGAAACACACTGTCTACTGCTGATAGGATCTACCCAAACCCACCCATTAGTGAGGTGGTTTGACAATTAGGCATCTTCCCTATGAAAGACGAAACCTCACATTGTCAGTTCACCGGCAAGAGAAAATGGGAAAGGATCATGAAATCCTAAACCTGGTTCCTAGAGTTAGATAAAGCATCTACCCCAGGCCCAGGCTTTGAGGAGGTATGTGAATCCCTGATGAACACATAGCTCTTCCTTTGCAACTGTTCAGGAACTGACATTTCAGGGAATTAATATAACTATCGAATAAAAGATGTTTATGTTTATTATTTATTTTCCAACAAGAAATATCCACAAAAGTAGCTGTCAGCAACTAATGGTAGAGTGCTTGGTATTAGCATCATATCATCAGAATTTCTACATTGCTCCATGCCAATATTTATATAGGAATTTGTTGTTGTTGTTGTTATGTGTTGTTGAGTCAGACCCAACTCGTAGCGACCCCTCCTTGGGTTTCTGAGGCAGTATCACTATGGAAGTAGTATTGCCCAACCGAAGCTCTATTTTACCCTCAAAGATAGATCTGAGTCCTAGCATGCACTAAGCAAGTGTTCAATAGAAAACTGTTGAATGAATAAACAAATGGATATGATGGATATATAAATCAGAATACTACTTTATTCATTTCTAATGGGGATTATTTTTTCCAAAGATTGGGATATTTGTTTTGTATAGCTATAACACATATTTTCTGGTATTAGGGCACTATGAGAAGTCAAATTAGTGATTAGATTGTTTGGCAAGCATGACATGAGACCAAAGAAAGGTTTTTGAGGGACAGTTTCTCTAGGTCATGGTGAAAAATAACAGCATCTAGACGGCTGGTGGTTCAAACCCACCAGCCACTCCTCGGAAGGAAGGTTGGGCAATCCTACTTCCGTAGTGATACTGCCTCTGAAACCCAAGGAGGGGTCGCTATGAGTCGGGGCCGACTCGACGGCACATAACAACAACAACAACAACAACAATGCATTATTTGCTTGTTGTGTGCCAGACACTGTTTTAAAGTCTTTTAAATATGGTTACTGTATCTAATCTTTACAAAAAAACCCACAAAAGATATATCATTATTAAATTCATTTTATGAGACATAGAGAGGATAACTAACATGCCAAAGGTTAACTAGCTAGTCCTGAGGGAAAGCTGGAATTCAAACCAGAAAGTCTAGTGCCCAAGTCTGTGCCCTTAATCACTGTGCCATATAAGTTAAATTCTTTGCCTCAAAGGAGAAAGCCTTTCTCTTTTGGCCAAGGTCACTACTCCTCTGCCTTAGCATCTCTTTCCTGGATGTACTGCCAGCGCCTGCCTCTCTGGATCTTGTCTTGCATTTATATCTGACATTCTGGGGAGGAACTTCCTAGGCTATGAGTTACCATCAGCAATGAAATGCTGCCTGAGAATGAGAGCACAGATCACAATCCATCAATAAGGTAATTTCTTTGTGGAAGTCTGGATCATTTTACAGAGAATTGATCAATAATTTTGATTACTATTTCTTGAAACAAGCGTTGTTTGAGTTTTGCATTACAATCCACATTTTACAATTTCCAGAAGAGGCAGAGGATATTTAAATGCATTGGCAGCTGCTCGCTCAATATTGGATAAATTGGATAAAGCATATCATGTTTAGTTGCACGGTCGAGCATCACTATCACATTGAATCAAAATGTAGGAAATTTCAGGATGGTAATTTAAATTACATCTTGTGTTGAAATGCTTTAAGATTTTACTCCGTGGCCACATATACTCCCACAGATTTATTATTATTATTGTATGATTTCATTTACTTTCTAAAATTTTATTTCTGGTGATGATACACGCAGCAAAACATATGTCAATAATGACTATTTCTACATGTACTATTTAGTGACATTCTTCAACTTGTGCTACCTTTCTCTCTAGCCTTTTCCAAATTGTTTTACCATCATCAACATATTGTTCCTTAAGCTTCTTATCTAAACTTTCAAATTGCTGTTGTCAAATTGAACCTATGTAGGTAATTCTTTAAAAGAATACAATGTTCAAGGCAGACATTCTTTTCTAATTAAGCTACACTATTACTTGGTTTCTTTCTCTTTTTTTTTTTTTTTCCTGACTTTATTTTTGTTGTTGTTGTTGTTGAGAACATACACAGAAAAACACATACCAATTCAACAGTTTCTACTTGTACCATTTAGTGACACCAATTACATTCTTCAAGTTGTACAACTATTCTCACCCTATTATTCTGAGTTGTTCCTCCCTCATTAATATAAACTCACTCTTCTCTAAGGTTCGTATCTCCTCTTTCAAGTTGTTCTTGTCAATTTGATCCCATATAAACAGTTCTTATAAAAGATGCAGAAACCCAACGAGGGGTCACTATGAGTCGGATACGACTCCATGGTAGTGAGTTTGGGTTATTTTTGGTTTTTTGAAAGAGAATAATACTCAAGACAGACATTTTTTACTAGTTAGGCTATTGTTTAGTTTTAAGAAGACTTTAGGGGATGTTATTGGTTTAAAGTTAAAAAATTATCTCAGGGCAATAGTTTCACAGGTTCATCTACCCTCCATGGCTAGAGAAAGTCTAGAGTACATGAGAATTTGAAATTCTGTTCTGCTTTTGCCCCTTTTGATTAGGATTATTTTATGGAATATTTGATCTAAATGATCAGTCACTGCAGCTGGACACCATCCATTTCTTCTGGTCTCATGGCAAAGGAGGCAGTTGTTCATGGAAGCAATGAGCCACACATTCTGTATATTCCTCCTATTCCTGACTCTCCTTCCTCTGTCACTGCTGGTGACTAGAAGTCATTGCTGTGCCTCGGATGGCCACTTTCAAGCTTTTAAGACCCCAGGTACTACGTAAGGTAGAACAGAAGCACTAAACATGCTATTTGGCCAATTAATTGGGATGCTCTGTGAAACCTTGGCCCTAAACCTCCAAACCAAGTAACCAAATCCCATGAGGCATTTGGCTGTACATAAGCAGCCTCAGTAGTCATTCTCTTTCTCTCTCTTTTTTCCTTTGTCATTGTTGCAAATGTGTCTATCACACTACTTTTGCCAGTTCAAGTTTGTACAACTTATTAACAGCAATTTCAGTAATTCGCTGTGCAGCTCTATCTTTAATCAATGAAATTTTTTCATCCCTATTAACTTTCCTTTTCCCCCTTACTCCCACCACTGGTAACAACTAAGCAACTTTGGTTTCTATATATTTGCCTTTTCTTGTCTTTTTACATAAATGAGATCATGCAATATTTGTCCTTTTATGATTGGCTTATTTCACTCAGCCTAAAGTCTTCAAGCTTCACCTATATTTTCTCATATATAAGATTTCATGTCTCCTACTGGCTGAGTGGCTCTGGTAGCGTAGTGCCTAAGGCATTTGACTGCTAACCAGAAAGCTGGCAGTTTAAACCCAACAGCCACTCCTTGGAAGGAAGATGGGGCAATCTACTTCCGTAGTGATACTGCCTCGGAAACCCACAGAGGCGCTGCTATGGGTCGGGTCTGACTCAATGGCACATAACAACAACAAACTGGCTGAGTAGTATCCTATTGCATGTATGTACCAAATTTTGATTATCTATTTGTTTATCTGTAAACAAAGCTGTTTGGATGGTGGCATAGTGCTTAAGGCATCTGACTGCTAATCAGAAAGCTGTCAGTTCAAAGAAGGTTGAACAATCTACTTCCATAGCGATGCCACCTCAGAAACCCAAGGAGTGGTCGTTATGAGTCGGATCCAAGTCGATGGCAGTGAGTTTGGTTTGGTTTGGTTGTATTGAATCTATAGATCACTTTGGGTAGTGTTGATCTTAACAATATTAAGTCTTCTGGTCGATGAACACAAAACAACTTTCCATTTATTTAAGTTTTTTTTTATCTCTTTCAGCAGTGATTTATAGTTTTTCCTTGTATAAGTCCTTCATGTCCTGGTTAGATTTATTAATAGGTATTTTGTTCTCTTAGATGCTATTGTAAATGGTATTGTTTCCTTAATTTCCCTTTTGGATTTCTTATTGATGGTGTATGGAAACTCAACTGATTTTTGTTTGTTGACCTTGTACCCTGAAACTTTGCTAAATTCCTTTAATAGATCTAGAAGTTTTCTAGTGGACTCTGGAATTTTCTATATATAAGTCATATTATCTGCAAATAGAGGTAATTTTACTTCTTCTTTTCCAATCTGGGTACATTTCATTTCTTTTTCTTATCTTATTGCTCTGGCTAAGACTTCTAATACAATATTGAATCGCAGTGGTGAAAGCAGGCCCCCTTGTCTTGTTTCCAATTTCAAGGGGAAAGTGCTCAGTCTTTCTCCAGTAAGTAGAATGTTGGCTTTTCAACATATATCCTGAATCATACTGAGAAGTTTTTCTCTTCCTATCTTCTTTAGAGTTTTCATCAAGAAAGGGTGTTGGATTTTATCAAATCCTTTTTCTGTATGCATAGAGATAATGATGTGGTTCTTGTCCTTTGTTCTAAACCAAACCAAACTCACTGGTGTCGAGTCAGATCTGACTCATAGCAACCCCTCCTTGGGTTTCCTTTGTTCTATTGACATGATATATTATGTTGACTGATTTTCTAATGTTGAAACATCTCTGCATCCTTGGAATAAATCTCACCTGGTCATAGTGTATGCTTTTAATATGCTGTTGGATTCTGTTTAACTGGTATTTTGTTGAGGATTTTTGACTCTATATTCATAAGAGATTTTGGCCTATAGTTATCTTTTCTTGTGGTGTCTTTGTCTGGTTTGATTATCAGGGTTATGTTTGCTTCACAGAATGAATTAGGGAGTATTCCTTCTTTCTTTATAGTTTGGAAAGGTTTAAACAATATTGGTGTCAATTCTTTAAAATGGTCAGTATGATTCCCCAGTGAAGCCATCTGATCCAGGACTTTTTGTTGTTGTGAGGTTTTTGATCACTGATTTGCACTCTTCACTTGTTATGGGTCTGTTGACACTTTCTATTTTCTCTTGAGTCAGTTTGGGTAAGTTATGTGTTTCTAAGAATTTATTCATTTAATCTAGGTTATCTACTTTGTTGTCATATAGTTGTTCATGATATTGTGTCATAATTCTCATTTTTCTATCAAGTCAGTTGTAATCCTCCCTCTTTCATTTCTTAATTTGATTATTTGCATCTTTTCTCTTATTTTCCTTGTCTCTCTAGTTAAAGGTTTGTCAATTCATCTGTTTTATTGATCTTTTTTCAAGGAACTGACTTCTGGTTTCATCAATTCTATTCTTTTCCTGTTTTCAGCATTATTTGTTTCTGTTCTAATCTTTGTCCTCGGAAGGAAGGTTGGGCAATCCTACTTCTGTAGTGATACTGCCTCAGAAACCCAAGGAGGGGTCGCTATGAGTTGGGGACGACTCAACGGCACATAACAACAACAACAACAACTAATCTTTGTTATTTCCTTTCTTCTAGTGGTGTAGTGCCTAAGGCATTTGACTGATAAGCAGAAGGCTGGCAGTTCAAACCCACCAGCCACTCCTTAGAAGGAAGGTTGGGCAATCTACTTCTGTAGTGATACTGCTTCGGAAACCCAAGGAGGGGTCGCTATGGGTCGGATCCAACTCAACAGCAGTGAGTTTGGTTTTTAGTAGATTTAGGCTTAGTTTGCTCTTCTCTGTAGTTTCTGGAATTGTCAAGTTAGGCTGTTAATTTGAGATTTTTCTTCTTCCTTTTTTTTTTTTTTAATGTGGGTATTTATTGCTTTAATTTTCCCTCTGAATACTGCCTTCATGCATTCCTTGAGTTTTAGTATGTTGTGCTTCATTTTCATTTGACCAAGAAATTGGTGATTTCTCTTTTGATTTCTTCCTTGACCCATTGACAGTTTAGTTGTATATTGTTTAATTTCTGTATGCTTATATATTTTCCAGTTTTTTTTTTCTGTTATTGATTTCTGGCTTCACCCATTGTGGTTAGGGAAAACACCTTGCATGATTTCAATCATTTAAAATTTATCAAGACTTGAGTTGTAACCTAAAATATGGTCTATCCTAGAGAATGATATAAGTTTTTCCACAGTTTCATATGATAAAATATATCCTATCATACAACCCAGCCCAAGATTTACCTAGACTCAGTAATAGTTGTAAACACCAGGGGTGTTTGTAAAAACAGGTATGACTAGAGATGATTTTTAACCCCTGTCATGACGATGTATAATTTCCAATAATCAAAATAATTGGTTTGGAAATAATTTGTAAAATAAACCACAACAATGAAATATCAAATGTCTTATAAAGGGAGACATTACTTATGACAAAGTGCTTTAAAAAAATCACTTTATTAAAGGTAAAAGTGCATACTCACCTCTACCCCATTCAGAAGATGCCGAAATTCAGGGCAGATGAAAGCACTGCCTGCGTAGGCAGCATCAATGTGCAACCACATGTTCTCCCAGTTACCTGGAATTCAGAAGCCACTCTTGAGTTCTCAATTGGTGCCCTTCTCACATAGACTGTCTCCTGTCCCCCACCCCTAGCATCTTTCTTGTAGATTGTAAATGACTAGATCCCTAAAATACTCCTTTTCTCTAAGGGCAATGAAATTGAGGACAGGGTTGAGTCCTGATAGCCCAGATGATGTCTGATACTTAGTAGGTGCTCACTGATGCTTGGAAAATGACATAAATGCAATCAGTTGCACCCTTTGATGTTCAAGCTCCTCACAGCTCTGTATACATTTAATACACACTCTAACACCTCATGCTTACTCATTCCAGTTTTATTCCAGTTATACTACCTTTTTCTGTCCTCTTCTATTTCATCCACCTGGCATCACCACCACCACCATCACTTTGATGATTTTCTCAGGTCACCCATTCTAAAAGTGTTTCCCCACAAACATCTTTTGAGGAAGAGTCATGTCCATACTGACACCATCCACACTGACAACTCTAGTCTATCATGGTCCCTTGTCATCACTACCATGGAGAGGGTTAGCCACTGAATTTACACCATCTTGAATCCTTTGCTTCTTTCATGGTTATGGATTTTGTTTTCCAACTATATTGTAACAGCCTTGGGGGCAGGGACCACATCTTTCTTTGGAGATAGGACAGTTTCCTGTCTACGTGTGCTTCCTCAATTCAGACCTATCTGGGCTCAGTTCCTGCCTCCCATCACATAGCAGCCATATGCCCTTATCTACCTCCTCCACACCTCATTCTCGTCACAGGAAAAATGGAGATAAAAACAGTACCTATGACTTTGAGGATTAAACAAGATAATGTTCATAATGTGTCTATCACAACACCTAGCATAGAATTAGTGAAAAATGATGTGATTATCATTCCCTCCTTCTGCCCCAGGCAAATGGAAGAGTCATGGAATATGTAAGAATTAAATTTTGAAAGATCTCAGCATTGAAGTGGTTATTCTTCCCCTTTATAGAGAAGGGTAATGATGATGGAAGCCACATGCCAAAGGCACCCAGTGGTATGTGTCAGCATCAGCACCTGCCAAATATGTTCAAAGGATGGATAGATTCATCATTCACTTTTTCATACATGATGCTTGTTAACTAGTGTGTAGGAGAATTAAAGAGTAGTACGTAATTCTGAGCTCTGTGGATAAAAGATACAAAGGCATTTAAATTTGATCTTCAGAAGTGAAGGGATTGATGCCTTAAGTTGGAAGAAGATAGAATGTTTCCAAAGAATGGGATATGGCCAGGCCAAAGCTCAGGAGGTAAAAGTAATGGGTCTGATGGGGACTGAGTGATCTAAGCACATTTTTATGGAGTAGAATATCCAGGCCACCACCTTGCATGGAATTAGTCTCTACTAGGGCTTACATAACCCCAGATGGGTGCAGCCATGAACCAGGAGCACAGAAACTTCAGATACATAGAAATATTTCCCTGAGACCTCACTGGGAAATGATGGGACAAGGCCTTCACTGTATCTTAGAAACATCATGGAGTAAATTGAAACTTCAGATTCACTTATAAAATGTGCATAACTTTTCAAAGAAATGTGGTGCTTTCTATGTGGCTGTTTGGGCTGCCTCTGGTAGCAAAGCTTCATTTTCTGTGAGAGGTTTTTTGGCGGTGTTTGGTAGACAGCAGCTAGATAGTGTCCAAGTCAGGATTGGTGAATGAACGGTCAAGGCAGAGCAAGTCTCCAGGCCTGAGTTATAACATAAGTTAGGAGATATATAGGCCATGAGGATGGGAGGGAATCTAGAAGAACCTAGAAGTGGCAGACAAGGTTGTCTTTTCTTTCTTACCACCTTTATTTCCTTCCCACTTAGCCACTGCTTAGCACACATGTTTGGTACTACTTCACTTTGTCACATTGTGATGGCCTGTGTGTTGCTATGATGCTAGAAGTTATGGCACTAGCATTTCAAATCCCAGCAGAGTCACCCACAGTGTAAGGGTTTCAGCAGAGCTTCCAAATTAAGATAGATTAGGAAGAAAGACCTAACAATCTACTTCTGAAAATTAGCTAATGATATCCCTCTGGATCAAAATGGAACATTGTCCAATATAGTGCTGACAGATGAGCCCTCTAAGTTGAAAGACACTCAAAATATATAGTGGCCCCAATGATGATTCAAGCATACTAAGAATAGTGAAGATGGAACAGGAGCTTGCAACATTTTGTTCTGCTGTGAATGGGGTTGCCATGAGGTGGAGTAGACAACAGCAATTAACAACTAGCCATCACCTTGGGAGGAGGGAATGTTTAGTCATTTAGCAACACAGCACATCATCGTAGCTCAGCCTCCGCTAGGACCCACATCTAAGAGAGGATCTGACTCTGAGCCTCCAGGACAAAGCCAAAACTTCAGGGTTATGTCCATGATGCCATTTGAGGATGCATCAGAGACCCAGGAGGGGCAAGAAGTAGAATGACCTTATGAGGGAAAGAAGAGGGGGACATTAGTGACATCAGAACTTATAGCTGCCACCAGAAATGAGCTCCACAGTGCTTTCCTAATTTCAGTGATAGAAGTAAAGGAGCATTTGGCTTCACTTCTGGAACATTGTCTGATATGTGATCCACTAATGGTGAAACAAAGGAGCCCTGATGGTGCAACAGTTTTAAGTGCTTAGCTAGTAACTGAAAGTTTGGTGGTTTGAACTCACCCAGAGGCCTTGCAGGAAAAAGGTCTGTCAATCTGCTTCTATAAAGATTATAGCCTAGAGAACACTATGGAGCAGTTCTACTCTGTCACATGGAGTTACTCTGAGTTGGAATTGACTTGACAGCGTGTAACAACAACACTGACAAAACTTATTTTGGACCATCCTGAGTATTACAGGAATATCTAGGAATTAAGAAGACATGGAGACGTCAGACCATTCCTCCCAAAGCAGGGGAAATGGTGATTCCCCAGAACAAGGTACACCCAGTTTGGGAACCAGAAGGCTACCTTTATAGGCAGCAATTTGGAAGAGGGAAAAGGTGGCCTCCATTCCCCTTCTGGCCTTGGCTACTTAGGACAGGATGCTACCTGGTCCTGCTTCCTCTCCAGGGTCCATGACAAGGCTTCTCTCATTAGCTATAACTAATCATCCTCAGAATTCTTACTCCATAACTTGTGCCTAACTGATTTAAATAATCTGTTTTTTGCATGTCAACCTCTTCTAAATAAAACTAGCCAAGCAATTAATTGATCTAAGCAGCCAACTTAAACAGTCTCTCTGGCAAATCATATTAAAGAGTGTGAAAAAGAAAAGATCATTCCTAGAACAGCAAGTTGCATAAACCATCCCCTGGCTTAATTTCTTTGTTACATGATCATGGATGAAAACTCTTCTGAATCCTTTTAATGGTTTATTCCAGATATAGAATATGGTCAGCTGAGGATCTCAGAGCAGTAGAGTTTAAATGGGAAGAATCTTAAATATTTGAAGACAGTCACAAAAATGGTAGTAGATGAGGGAATGTAGGTTAAAAGGTGCTTGCTTAACTAACTGTTAAGGCACTTCCTATTGTTATTAAGATAGTTATCAATGATAATTAAATACAACTGTCAAAATTAACCTCAATAGTAGACTTTGGCAGTGAATGAGTTTTGGCATTTGTCCATGTCAGCTCCCTCAGCACAGCTTCATGTTTGACACAACACATCACAAATCAAGTTCTGCCCATAGTCCCAGACCCAGTGAAGCAGAGGAGGGGCCAGGAGAGCTAGAGGCCTGAGATGGACCCAACCAGAAGACCCTGAGCCCTGGGAGAACCTGACAGCTGTTACCTCCCTGCTTCTTCCGGCAGGTGGCCAGCACTGGCTCAGGGACAGCAGGAGCCATGTGGACTCTGTCCCACAGAAGACCTTGACACTTTAATTAAACCTGAGAGGCTGGGGAATTGCATCAGCCGACTGCTAGCCAGGACATTCAGTTCTTAGTCTGACATCTGAGTCAAGGAGGACTTGGAGCCATTTGGCCCAGCTGATGGGAGTTTACAGCTAATGAGGCCAACAGCATGGCCATAGTCCTGTGTAGGCCAGCTCCATCCCTTCTTGCAGGCCTGGCCCATACACCACTGCTTCAGCCAGTTATTCTTACAGACATCCGCCACAGGCTATAGATGGTAGAGTGAAAGCATGTGTGAATTGGCAAATACACCCACACCTGCTGCTGGAAAGCAAAGTACATGTCTCAGATGCTGGTTATAGCATCACCTAGGACACAAGAAATACACTACTGTTTGCAAAGCACATTTTCATGCACTAACTCATCGTCTGAATCGTCTTCAGAGGGAAAGGTGATTATTTTACTAGTGTTGTTTTTCTCTCCATTTTACAGATGGCAAAAATGAAGCTGCAAAACAGGTATACAGCTCTAAGTGGTGGATCTGGGCATTGCCATAGCTTCTCTGCCACCAATGCCATGGCAAGCTCATGTCAGCATGCTGCTGACCCTAGGGATTGGAGTTTATGGCTGGCAAGAAAGAGACCTCTCCTTTAAGCACAGTCCACAGGATATAATTTGGTTTGGAGAGGTGAGAACATGCTTGGCTTTTGGATCAACTGCTGAGCATTGTATGCAAACTCTGCACAAGGCCACAGACACAGGCTAAGAGCCATATGGCCTTCACTTAACACCTGGGTCTTCCCAGTGGTGAGTAGCTGGTATGTGGGAATAATCAGCTCCACACTCACTCACTCACCAGAGTGCCTAAATGCTCCCATTTCAAGAGCAACACAGAGAGCGGGAGCTTATTGAGTCCAGGTCCTTGCCCTTATGAATTCCTCCTTTCACAGAAACCCCTCCAGGGCCTCCTGAGTCCCCAGACCCACCTGCGAAAGGTGAAACTTTAGAAACACAGTAAGTTACTTGTTCAGTTTCACCTTCTGAAACACAGAAGAATTCTAGTCTCTGAGAAAACCTAAGTGCTTTTATTGAGGGAGGGACGAACTGAGACTGATCTAGTAAAACATTTGAAGTGACAGATGATCTTTTGAAGAAATCTATTTTTATCGTGTTGATTCATTTAATTTCTTTAGGTAATTCTAAAAAGGCTAAAAAGAAAAGCTCAGAAGACTAAATTCAGGAATGGATAATTTCTACTACATGAAAATGAGGGTACTAACTCTATAGTTAGAAAAAGTTTATTTTTCTTAGTATAGTGAACATATCTTTGCAATATCATGTCACTGTTATATTGCTGGAAAAGTTTTTTTTTAAATAAATAGTGTGGTCATGTAGTTAAGCTCAGCAGTCCCTGTCAGGGTGCAAATGGATAAAGTGCTGAGCTGCTAGTGGAAAAGTTGGAAGTCTCAGTCCTTGGAAGAGAGGGCCTGGTGATCTACTTCTGAAAAATCAGTCAAACCCTCTGAAGCACAATTCTTCTCTGACATACAAGGTCACCATGAGTCAGAGTTGATAGTAAAAAAAAAAAAAAAAAAAAAGCTTACCTCCTCTCCAATTTACCCGAATTCCTAGTTTGTAGAGCTCAAACTAATGAGGTTTCTGTTACCACCAAAACAAAACAAGTTTGTCAAACCATCATGATATTAATTTAATGAGGAGGAGAGCCCAAAAAGGAAAGCCTACTAAATTCCGCATATGAGAAAATTTTCCAAAAGAAAAGGTAATTGGATACTTACAAATAGGACCCACTTCTAATAGATTGTCAAATGAGCAGCAAGATGTGGTTCCTAGTGTAGCAACCACCTGCAGAGTAAAAAGGAGACACACTTTTAATCCCTTTGTATAGCTGTAATCTCCCCACACACCATCACTGCCCCGTTGCTCAATGAGCATCTTCTTCTTCTTCTTCTTTAATTTTTATTGTCACTTGGGTGAAAGTTCACAGAGCAAATTCATTTTCCAAACAGCAGTTCATATGCATTTTGTTTCATGACATTGACTCTAATTCCCCACAATGTAACAGCTCTCTTCCCTCTTACTCCCTGTAGTTACCTCTTCCTTATGTCCTTCTTTGCTATGCGTTCCTGCTCCCTGAGCTACCTCCCTGTGCACACGCTGCCTTTCTGTTCTCCCATGATTGATCACTGTAAGACGTATATCTACCTAATGTAAATATCCATCCTATATGCCTGTCTGGGAGCTCTGGTAGCGTAGTGCCTAAGGCACTTGACTGCTAACCAGAAGGCTGGCGGTTCAAACCCACCAGCCACTCCTCGGAAGGAAGATGGGGCAATCTACTTCCATAGTGACACTGCCTCGGAAACCCAAGGAGGGGTCTCTATGACTCAGGTCCTACTCGACGGCATGTAAGAACAAGAACAACAACAACATATGCCTGTCTATTGTTTGGCTGGAAGACACAGGAATGAGTTCAGTTCCAGACCTGAAGGGTAACTAGGGGCCATAGTCTTGGAGGTCTTGCCAGGCTCTATCAGACCAGTAAACCTGGTCTCTCTCTCTCTCTCTCTTTTTTTAAATCATTTTGAGTTTTGTTGCACATTGTTCTCCCATCAATGATCAATGAAAATCTTCTTAATGGAGATGTAAGTCTTTTTATGCACATTTAATCTTTAGATGAAAAGCATCAGAACAGGTTAAGAGAAACAGGTTTTCAGACAGAAACTCAGCTCTAAGGTTACAAACATGCATTTGTAAGAGATTTCCCACCATTTCTCAGAGCATAAATGTAGCACTTGACCACATCATCTACACCAGCTATTCCTCTATTCTATTTTATTAATTCTAAGCATATATATTGTCAGAAGGGACCAGTCCCTAGAGAAGGAGATCATTCTTGGTAAAGTAGAAAGTCAGTGAAAAAGGGGAAGGCCCTCAATGAGAGGGACTGATACAGTGGTTGCAACAACAAGCTCAAGCATAGCAAAGATTGTGAGGATGATGCAGAACTGGGCAATGTTTTGTTCTGTTGTACATAAGTTCGCTATGAGTTGAAACTGACTTGATGGCAACGAACAACAACAACATATATATTGAATATAAGTGTGGTGTAGTAAATTACCTGGTATGGTTTTTCTAGCCATAAGTTTTTGGAAACTCCATGGTGGAATTTGCTGTGAGCAACTGAGGAGCTCCTGATTGTAAAAGTTATCCACCTGGGGTATTTCTGTTTGGAGTGGCCCAAAGCAATGTTCTGGGAGGTTCCCACTCTCTCTCAGGTGTTTAGAATTCTGATGTTATGATTGGTTGGTTTGGCCACTCTGCAGGGCTCAAAAAGAGGCCTCCTAGAGGCAGAGGTCTCTCTGACTGCTGGCTAAGGATGTGCTGCTGAAAGAGACACGGTCTCCTGAGACACGCGCTGCTGGGAAAGAGACGCAAGAGACACGCATTGCTGAGTGAGACACCGAGGGACATGCACTACGGGGACAGAGACTGTGAGAGACTGTTGGCTGAGAGATGGCGGGCTGAGAGAGACTGAGCGTTTTGCCTGAACTTGAATTGTAGCCTGGTGCTACCCTAATAAACCCCATCATCTATGAGTTCTGTGTGGCCACTGCAGTGAATTATCGAACCCAGCAGAAAGGTGGTGAGTGCTGTGGGAGGAACGGTTGGTGTCACAGTTGGTGAAAGGGCTGAAGGGAGGCAGCATGTCTGGCCTCATAGGAATAGGCCTTGGGCTACTGATAGTGATTCTGTTTTCCTCTTGTGCAATTAGAGGAGGTCAGAAGATGTGGCCTCCTTGCCCTTTTTGCAATAAGTTTAGGCTTCCTACTCTAGAATAGGAAGTTTGGTTGCTTTTACTTAGGTTAGGGTGTATGTGTGCAGCATAGAGAGCAAGCACATCAGAAATCACATGTATTCCAGCAAGGCTCTATTGCACAAATACTTCTGGAATGCATCTTTTAGAACAGCCTTCAAAATTAACTAAGATCTACACCAAGATTTTGACCAAGAATATCACTCAATAGCTTTGCTCTCCTGCCTTTCTCTCTATGAAAAATATTATTTCCTAAAATTAAGTTGATGGCACATAACAACAACAACAGAATTAAGTTAATCCTCAAAGGAGTAAATTTGTTCTTGTAAGGAGAGAAATGAGAAAGCACTACTGACTTCTAAAGTAATTCTTCCGAAAGAATGTTGAAAGCTATTGGTCACACAACTATAAAATGTGGGCCAGAATTCATCAGGCCTCTCTAGTTCCTGAAGCACCCTGTGGTGCAACAGAATCCTGTGCACATCAGACTCCCATGGGTCTGCCTCACCCACCAAACCAGATGCTCTTGAATCTAGCCTTTGTGTCTTATTTCTCTTTGCATTGCTAAGAACTTGCACTTTGCTACACATAGAAGAGGTGCTAAAAAGTATTGTTGAACAACAAATATGAACCCCTTTGTAAATACAATACTGAGTTGTTAATGAAAGCAAATATGGGTATAGGGACGGATAGATGGGTGAACAAGCTAAACAATTATGTATGTCTAAATGGAGAGTGTATCCAAGATCATATACAGGGTTGGCAGAAAATGGGCCTCTCGAAGAGTATGAAGGGATGGACACTGGGAGGAGGTAACTATGGGGAGGAAGTGGGAGGGGAGCTGCTGCATTGTAAATTTTGGTCAATGACATGAGACAAAGTATATGTGAACTGCTGTATGAAAAGTGAATTTACTCTGTAAATCTTCACCCAAATCCTAATAAAAAAAAAAAAAAAAAGTATTGTTGAATTGAAACTCTCCAAATGATCATGAATGTCTTTCAAAAGGCATAGCATCTTTACAAAACCAAAGAATATAATTGATTTACTGATGCACTGCCTGGATAATGAGATTTCTCCTGAGATGTAGTAAGAGCATAAAAGTTAATTCAATTTGTGCAATCTTTATTGAGCCCCCACTGAGATTTCAGCAATGCTATGTGCCTGAGAATAGAGATGGAGAGGTCAGAAATCCACAGAAACTCATTCAAGGCCTTTGGACTGTTTCACCCATGACAGCCTGTATTTGACCTGAACACTAAATCTGACTCTCAGAATCAAAGTGCTCTTGCCAAGATACTCTTGTGTCTGCTTTATGGATGGCCCTAGCCGGGGAGAGGTACCTTGGACTGCTTCTCAGAGAGACAGAGCCTGCCCAGAGCCTAAAGATGTTCCATAGCCTGTCTCAGGAAGTGGCCCCAAAGCTGGTCCCAGTAAGACTTCTATCATGGGACATGCTCAAAGCAAACTCAGTTCTCCAGGACCTGTCAGCACAACAGCGGCAACATTGAAGCCATGTGCTTTGGGCAAGAAGACTTGGATTGGAGATCCAGCTCTGGTTGCATTAGCACCTTTGGGATTCTGTTTCCCCATTTATGAGATAGATGTGTTGGGCGTAAGATCTACTAGTCAATAAGGCCCCAGTAGGCTTGGATGTAACACACCTCCACATCTCCCTTGATGCGCAAGCCTCCTTCTCTTCTCACCTCTTTCTGCACATGCTTACCCTGTTACAGTGCCAAGCATTCTCTCCATTGGATTTATCATTTAATGAGAATTCAAATCAGTGTGCTATTTTTCTCTAGATTTTGCACTTTAACTGGATATATACTGAATAGTGGGAACTCTGGTAGCATAGTGGCTAAGGCACTTGACTGCTAACCAGAAGGCTGGCGGTTCAAACCCACCAGCCACTCCTAGGAAGGAAGATGGGGCAATCTACTTCTGTAGTGATAATGCCTTGGAAACCCAAGGAGGGGTTGCTATGAGTCGGGTCCGACTCAATGGCACATAACAACAACAACAACAACATACTCAATAGTAAAATGCTTTGTCCATGCTTTTAAAAAATCATAAAATTATGAAGCTAAAAAAGCTGCAGGATCATACTACCATCCTTATAATTTATTTTCTTAATTTTCAAAAAGTCTCTTAGGAATGGCATATCTGTAATTCAGTACTTTCTTCAGTTTCATTTCAAGATCATTTTCTCCTGTTAAATTCTAATTAAACTAAATGCAATAACTTCTGTTTTTAAAATTATATATAAATTAAAAAATTCATATTTTTTCTATCAATCTGTTCATTTATTATGTGTGCATGGAAGAGTGCCTAGAATTATTTTCACCAGATATTAGTACTGCTTATTTCTTGACATGTGATTCTGGTTAACATAAACCTTTATTCTTAGATTTATGTGTAATTACTGATTCTTTTTTATTGAGGACATGAAACATTTTTATCCAAATAATCAAATCCTCGCTTTCCTGGTTGTAGCACCAGTTAAGACTAATAATAGGTGACATTTCCTGAGTGCTTATTCTATGTGATGCTGAATGTTGAGAGTGTATATTTATTGTTTATTATTTATCATACATAACCAGAAGGCTGGCGGTTCAAACCCACCAGCCACTCCTCGGAAGGAAGGTTGGGCAA